ATGTATGGTGCTCCCATGAAAGGTAAAGAAACGTTTGAAGTAGATGAGATAGATAACGCTATAAAATTATTTGACGAAGTTGCTGAAAAATACATGTAAAGCGTTTATTTTTGGTCTTTTGTGAAAGTCAGAAAAAATAAAGTTAGTTTTAAAATTATTTTTATTTTGTATGAAATAACAGTAATGTCAACATCAGAGAACACAACAACTGCTATCGTTCATGAAGCCATTAATGAAGAATACGAATACATACAGTATAACAAACAGTTACGTCTCATTCGTTCAGTCAAAGATGACATGTACCAAATGCAAAGTATAATGAATGCTCTTCGTTCTACAAAGCAAGCATATCATTGGTTTGAAAACCAACAGACAAAAGAACTTTTAGAAGAATTTCCTCATATGATTGCTTCCCTCGGAAAACCGAGCGAAGAGATTCCGTACGAAAATCGCAAGAATTTGGCTCCTGGTTTGAAAGGATATTATGTTCATAGACTTTTAGTAAATGCTGTAGCAATGTGGGCTTCACCTCGTTATGCTTGTTATATTTTCATGATGTTAGATGAACTATATAAAGCAGAACGCGAAGATATGGAAAAGAAACTTCATGCAAAAGATGAAGTCATTGAATCCAAAGACAAAAGCATACAGAAAAGAATACCACGTTCAGTACCAAAAGGAAAGGAAAAGAGTTATAAGTATATGATATATACTGAAGAGTTGGAGAAAGAAGAAGATAAAGATATGGTTATGTTGCATTTAGTGAGAAGAAACAACAAGAGCTTTTATGACTTAGCTAAAATATATAAATCTGACAGAAACTGGTTCTATCGTGAAAACTTACCGATTTCAATGACACCGAATGAAGATGTGAAACAAATAGTTCAAGATACGTTACCTCAAACACACTATGACATCAAAGGTTGCACAATACTTACATTCAAAGAAGACTTAACATTACTGAAGGAAAAAATAACAGAATATTTCGATAACTTCAAAGAGGAAGAAAAAAAAAAAATCTCGTCGGGTGCCACGTTAGAACCATAGTGGAGAAAACCATGATAAAAACAAAACGCTCCATGTCGATCATAATCGACGAAGTGCAAATCTTCACTTCGTCAAGTTTATTTTGTTTTTACCATTTAATTGTTGTAAAATGTCGATATGAAGACTAACCAAAAATATATTTTTGCTTAAATGACGTCAGGGTCAATTTCTTCAACCATTTCACTTCCTTCGTCAATGTCAATAGAAGCTTCTTCAACCTTTGGTAAGAATTTCTGTATAACATCTTTGTTCGTTATTGTCTTCAGAGATGAAGGATAATATTTCACATTTGTTTCACCCTTCTTATATTCTTTCTGTTCGGAAAGATTCATAGCAATACTGAAGAAGTCAATGTTAGAGTTCTTTATGACAGTATAATGAGTATCTTTGACATTCACGAAGAAACTCTTTTGTTTCAAAACTACTGCTAACTCTTGTGAAGTATAACGTTTGCGGTCAATGACGATAGCTAATGGTCTGACATACTGACCGAACTTAGATTCTTTCACAAACTTCTTGTTAAAGATAACATTAACATTTGAAGCATTATTGAACTCATTCTTGATGGCATTAGCGAGAGCATTGTATGAAAAGAACTTGCAATCTTGCATGTGTTTCATTATAATAAAAAGTTCGAAATATTTTAAAACTAGCCTTAAAAAATCTAAGCTAATTTTTTTCTAAGAAATTTTTTTATTTCCTACTAAAGATGTATCGGAAGTTGTCTAAGTTAGAACACTCGGAAATAAAACAACTTCTTACAGAAGCTAACATAGATGTTGCAAAACATTACGCGACAAACAAAAAGCACTCGCTGACATCCTCAATGACTACAATGGTGAAATAACTTATGATAGAATTCATGAGTTCATAAATGCAAGAGCATTTCCTTTAAATGACGTTGCTATTGACTTATATCATAGACGTTCAGTACCTCATGAAGTAAGAAGAGAAATGTTTGACATAACAAATGCGAACGTTGGTCATACTCGTAAAGCTCTTTCGCATGATGTTCGTCAAGATGTTTGACATAACAAATGCAAACGTTGGTGAAACACGAAAGAGAGACGACACACTGAAACAACAGAGAAGAGAGATGTTTAAAAGTGCTATAGAACAAGTTCGCAAAGCTAATAATGTCATTCGTTCCATTGACGACAAACCAAAAGAAGGTGAGAGATGGTTAAAGAAAGATGAAGAGAATAGGAAGAGAAATGTGAAGTCAGGCAATAGACTCATTGACTTTAACATCGAAGCTTTAGATGAACCAAACAGAGACTACTTACACAAACATTTCGGTAAGGTTTTCATGAGACTCTTAGAGAAGATTAAAATAAACTCCCAACAAAGATGGATGGTATGTTATAAACTTGGTGGAAAGTATGAATGTTCTACGTTAAACCTCAATAATATTGGAACATTACTACATCAGCTCTTGAAGGAGAACGTTATATCAGAGATAGAAGCAAATGCTGCAGGTAATGTTGAAATGCACTATGACTTCTTCTTGACAAACATAAAGAATCTTACTGAAATAAAGATGTATGATTTAACTGAATATGAAGGCTTAACGATGTCAGATGTTAAGAAAGGAAAGCCACAGAAGCGACCATATAGAGATGAAAGCACACTGACAGAAAGACAGAAAAGATTATTGAACAGACTTAAACAAAGGAGATAAACAAGATATAGATGACTTCTGGAATGAAATCCTTGGTGAAAAGAAGTTTTATAAGAAGAGAAGCGGTCAGTTCTGGAAGTATCTTTGCACATTACCTATAAATCTTGAACGCTACCAAATCTTCAATGAACTGAACAAAAGAACTGCAACACTTATGACAGAGGACAATTGTTTCGTTTATGCTTGCATTCAGGCTGGAGTAAATGAAGAAACTATTGACCACATGAGAGAAGTCATTCGTGTTAGAGACTTTCCTCAAAGTAAAGTACAAGAAATTTCTGACGCAACAGGTATAGCATTTAATGTTACCATTGGTTACTTCAATGACTCAAGACATAATGAAATAAAGAGATACATACCAAAAGAATGTAAAACTGTTCGAACTATTGACTTACTTCTTGTTGAAGACCACTACATGCTAAATGAAAGACTTCCAATGACAACATATTTCATTCGCAACTATATAGAAATCTTGAAGGAGTGTGGTGGAATGAACATTGAGAAACAGATGAAGATTTATACAAAGAGAGAAGATAAATATGTAGTTCGCATGGATAGAACTACACCGCTATGGGATGTTATGAAAACATTGTGGGAGTGCAAATATTTCGAACCTATTTCTTATGGAGAACTTTTCACATATACGACTGACTTATATAAACAGAACCTTGCACCATTTAAAGATTTGACATATACTCCAAAGTATTGTGTACAACTGAAGAAGAAAGCCGAGTCAAAAGAAGTAAATAAAAATAAGTGCAAGTTCATTCCTGAGCACGTTTTCTTTGCTGACTTTGAGTGTAGTACGGATGGCTTTCATAAAGCTTTTAACATCTGTTATGACAGTGAAGATGGTTCAGTGAGTGAAAGCATTTGGGGTCAGAACTGTGCAACAGAATTTTTGGAACGACTTCCTGACAAGAGTTTAATATATTTCCATAACCTCAGTTATGATATAAACTTCATCTTAAGACACATGACAGAAGTGAAAGGAACTCCCATCATTAAAGGTTCACTAACAATGCAAATAACTGGCTTATATAAAGGAAGGGCAATTATTATAAAAGACTCTTACAGTGTTATAAATAAGAAGCTTAAACTATTTCCTGCTATGTTTAACTTACAAACAGGACCGAAAGAAGTATTTCCATACAACTACTACAGCAGTGTTTTGTTAGCAAATGACAACAGAACTGGTGTCATTTCTGAAGCATGTAAGTTTATCCGGGATGCAGATACATTTATGAAAAACATAGATTCCATCAAAGGTTGCAGAATAGATGAAAACCACTTCGACTTAGAAAAATATAGCACATTTTATTGCAAACAAGATGTAAGAATTTTAAGAGAAGGTTTTGTTAAGTTCCGCAATGACATATTGAAAGAATTTGATTTAAACGTTTATGACTACGTTAGTATTTGTTCAATTGCTAACAAATTATTTGAGAACAGAGTATACTTCCCGAATGGAAATCTTTATGACCTCTCAAATAAACCAAGAGAATTTATTTCGAGATGCATTCAAGGTGGAAGATGTATGCTGTCAGATAACATGAAACAAAAGAGCGAAAAGAAACTCATTGCTGACTTCGACGCTGTTTCATTATATCCATCCGCTATAGCAAGACTTTATACTTTAGAAGGAATTCCAAAAGTATTGAAGGATGAGATGTTAAGCACAGAGTATCTCATGAGACATTTATTCAACGACGACCAAAAGGAACCCATTGGTGAAAAGTTTATGTCTGGCTTCTTTGTTCTCATTAAGATAACAGAGATTGGAATACATAGACACTTTCCTTTAATAGTTTGTGACCCTGAACTAAATCCAGAACTTAACGTTCCCAGAAGTTCAAACACTTGCTGTTTAATGTATGTTGACCATATAACATTACAAGACCTCATAAAATATCAAGGTGTCAAATGTGAAGTGTTGCAAGGATATTATTACGATGGAAACAGAGATATTAGAATAAGAGATGAAGTAAAGAAGTTGTTTGAGTTAAGGTTAAAGTATAAGAAAGAAGGAAATCCTTTGCACGAAAATATAAAGCTCATTCTGAACAGTATTTATGGCAAAACTATTCTATCTCCTATTGAGTCAAAAATAACCATAGTAAATGACAAAGATGCTATAAGATATGCCATCAGAAACTACAACCATATAGTGAAGTTAGAAGGTTTGGATGGTTCAGATAAAACTATTTTCAAGCTAACGAAAAGCATTTGCAGACACTTTAACTTCTGTCCACTTGGTGTTAATATTCTATCTATGTCGAAGAGAATAATGTGTGAAGTATTCTGTACTGCTGAAGACTTAGGAATGGACATCTTTTATAGCGATACCGACAGTATGCATCTCTACAATGAAGATATCCCTCGTTTAGCTGAAGAGTTTGAGAAACGTTATGGAAGAGTTCTCATTGGTAAAAACCTTGGTCAATTTCATAGCGACTTTGCAGAAATCACACCTGGAAAACAAAGTTTAGCATACAAGTCAATATTTTGTGGAAAGAAGACTTACATAGACTTACTCACTAACGATTTAAATGAAGTTGCATTCCATGCACGTTGCAAAGGTGTCAAACAAGACGTCCTTGCTTTAACAGCTAATGAAATGTTTCCTGAAGCTATACAATGCTATTACAATGAAGATAAAGGTTTAATGGTTCCGCAAGGAAAATTTGACAAAGACTCTGAGTTCAGTGTTATGAAACTTTACAAAGCACTTCATGATGGTCAAGAGATTGGATTTGACTTATGTAAGTCTTCTAGTCCTTGCTTTGCTGAAAAGTTTAACTTTTCTATTCAGACTAAGACTTCATTCATAAGAAAGCTTAAGTTCTGAGGTCATGAATGAGAAAAATAATAAGGTCATTTATTTTTGTCAGCAATGAGGTCATTCGTGATAAAAATAAGCCGCTAGCGGCAAGGCGAAGCCCATGTTGTCATTTACAATACTGCGATGGTAGAGTTTAAGAGTTGTGCTTCAATGTAGAGACAGTCCTTATGGTCTGGAGGTAAGAACACTGGGCAGTTATGGTCATGAGTGGAGAACATGTCTATCCAAAACTCACGATTGAAGCCAGTTAATTTATAGTATTTAGGGTTAGGAAGTGGTGAAGTTCTTGTATGACCAATGAACTCATTTTCAACTCCCTTACTTAAGTTTGAATATAATATAGCTTGCTTTCTATCCCAAATGCCAGGTGTTACAATCTTTGAAAATTCATTTTTCCTCGGAAGCATTGCATCATAATTGAAAACATTCTTGAAGTCTTCATTGGGTTCAGAGATTTGAAACCTTATACGTAATGGATTTTCTTTCTCTTTAGCTACTTCATTGAATGGTGAATATATAACAAACTGACAGTCATGAGTTCCATCTTCATTTTCATTAAATTCATAATGAAAGTCTATAAGTTGTGGCGACTACCTTCTTCTTTCAGTTGTGCAAGAAACTCACGTAAAGGCTGTAAAGTTTGTACTTCAATGTTGAACTTTTTCTCGAACATCTCATTAAATGAAATCATACATTGTTGCAATGTTGTATCGTCTTTAAAGTATTTGTATATGTGAATGTTTTGGGCGCTTAAAGACTGTTCGTCATTTTCTATCTCGACTTGAAGTATAAAGTCAACCTTTCTGAAAGCACGTGTTATATACATAGATGTTATGCCAATGTACTTCTCTTCATTTATGTTCACAATCCAGTCTGTTGGAAACTTAAACGTTACTCTGTTCCCCTTTATTTTGACGTCGGGGTTTTCACTACTGAACGCAACAGTTAAAGGTATTTGTCTATACATTTAATTCGGATAAAAATAAACCATTTACTCTTTCTTTGCTTCAGCTTCTTTAGCTTTTTGTTCTTCCTTTGCTTTTGCTTCTTCTCTAGCTTTCTTCGCCAGCAAACGTGGGTTCTTTTGTCTTCCAGCAGCTAATGCAGCAAGTTGTTTTTCACTAAGTTTTCTCTTTGGTCTCTCTGGCTTTTGTTCTTGTTTTTGTTCCTTCAGTTCGGATAAAATTTGCTCGCGAATTTCTTTCTTCAATGCTTCAACATCTATGACCCCTTGGGTCTTGTCCATATGACTTGTCTGAGTTATTTGACTGCGGATAAAAATCTAACTTAAAACTTTAACCGATGTAAAATGAGCTTGTCAAAATCAGAGCGAGAGTCTATTATATTAAATGACGCAAGAGGAATACAACATCCTTTCTATTACGTAAGTCAGAGTAAAGATGGTAAAATATACGTAAGAAAAAGAAAGGTTCCATTAGCGAATGCAGAGAGCGACAACATTAAGGTGCATGACACCGAGGGTGAAGCCCATATAAAACCTTCTATTCAAACTGAAAAGTCAATAGAACCAGAAGAAAAGAAGCCAGATGTTCTTTCAATAACGAACCAAGAGCTTATTGCAAAGTTCGTGAATTTCATTGAAAAACAAACCGAGTCAAAGAATCCTGACCCACCAGTGAAAGAAGTTGAGACAAAAGAGAATGTACAGTTCATTGAAAATGTCAAGAAACAACTTCCACCACGAATGCCAAGAAGAAGAGTGAGAATAATGAAGTAAATAGATATTTTTATCTGAAGTAAATACATGCAGAACGAACAGTTAAACGAATTTGCTCCAGCAGAGCATATTCATCAGATTCGCTCATATTTCGATATCATAGACAATGCAGTTCAAATTGGTGACACTAATAGAAAATATTCTGACGCAAAGATTCCATCACAACCTGGAACTGCTAAAGATAACACATGGGTAACATTCAATCTCTCACCTCCTGGTGAAAATATGTTGGACCTTTACAATACATTCATTACGTATAAAATGGAAGGTCAATTTATTGTAGATAAAGAAATTGGTTCAGGTTCCAATAAAACAAACCCACCAGGATTTTGGATTGGTTTCGATGACGCTTTCTATGCAGTTGCTGGATATCAAATCCTTGCAAATGGTCGTATCGTATATTCTCAAGACAACGCAAGAGAAGAAGCATATATAACTTCAAACTCACAAACTACCGAACAAATAAAGAAAGTAGATGTTTTCTCAAAGACTCGACATGAAGATGTATGGAGTCATTCGGGAACATGCAGAACAGGACAAATTGTTAGTGGTCCAATTACAGCAGGAAAGTCATTTGATTTTAAGCTTCGTTTAAGAATTCCTGTTAGAAGATTCCTTCCATTAGAAGCTATTCGATTTATTCCAGCTTTTGCAGGAAACATTCAGCTTAAAGTAAAGTTCAGTAGCGACGCATTACAATGCACATCTATATCTGTAAATGATATCATTGCTTTCAATCCAACTCTTAAAGTTGCATTTGCTTCAGATTCAAATCCACCGACAAATAAATTTGTTCCATGGAATGAACCATTCACTATGATAACGAAGGCAATAGAAGCTAGTGGAACAGTTACTATTACAACTGTAACCCAGCAACTATTTCGAACAAAGATGGATTTTAATGAATGTTTCATTCATCCAAAGTCATTCTCTTTAGACCCTAACATTTATACAGAACTTGTAGAACATTATACAAACGAGGCTTTATGTTTTCCTGTTAAAGTTATGGATTGGATTCCTATGGACGGTTCATTCTCAAAGAATACAGATAGTTCAAGTGCAACATTTACAGCAGCTTATACGCCTATTAATGTTAAAAGTATTTGGGCACTATTTAGAAAGAAAGACAACTATTATGTTAATTTTGAGAACCCTAAGTTTAAATATCTTCAGCTTTCCATGGGAGCTTATGGAAATATGCCTGCAGAACCTGAAAAATCATATGGACCTGTATTTTATGAAATGGTTGCGAACGCTTGCAATACAAACAATGATATGATAGGATTTAATGAAGATGTTATGAGGTCATTGGTGGATGATGGTAGTGTGGAACATAAATGGGATAGCTATGACAACACACATTTCTTATGTGGTTTTCCAACAGAAGTGGACTTTTGCTTCCAGCAAGGTCAAACATCTACTGCTCCAATAACATACAAATTGTCTGTTAAAGGACCTATTGAACTAGCAACTGAAAATGTACCAAAGCCACTTATTGGATTTATGAGGGATTGTTGCTTTGCCATTCAGGTGCGTGCTAATGGCATCCCATAATAAGATTAGATGACTATAACTTAGCTACGGACGACAGTGAGGAATAAAGGATGAACGTTTATTTTTAAAGCTTATAAATGAGTTCTTCATCAAGCTCTCGTGAACCTTCACCATCTATGAAACAAACTTTACCAAACGATTATGGAGCACCTATTGAATATTTCTTACGAGCTGCACAATGGCAAAGAGCAGTCTCACCAAGGTTAGGTGTTCCACCAGCTCCTGTCAAAAATAGCATTTGGTCAAGTCCTTATATAAGATATGGTCTCCCACTAGGTTTGCTAGCTACAGCAGGAGCAGTTATGATGTTGAAAAGAAATAAAGCAAATGTTGTAAATAATACTGAAGTAGCTGAAGTTAAACAAACTCCAACACCTTCACAAGCAAAACCTTCAATGACTCCTGAACCTATGGAAGTACAAACTCCTGTTCAAAAGTCAACTCCTAAACCGACTCCAACATTTAAACCAGAACCTACTCCTCAAATAAATCGTAAAACTCCTGCGTTTCCTTACTGAAAAAATAACGTTATTTTTATTTAATATTAAAATTTTATTTGATTGAAATGACGATAAAGTCACTGAAGCAATGAAACAAAAGTTTTTGGTAGAATACATTAAATCAGGAACTATTCCAGAAGGTTTTTACATTCATACTATGAAGGATGGTAGAGTTCAGTTTAGAAAGATAAAGCAACCATTAGATAGAAGAATATTTGAGAAAGATTAAACTTCATGAGGACAACATTGCTAAACTTAGAAGAAGTTAGAAGTTGGAGAAAGCAGACGACAGTGAGGAATAAAATATTTCATTAGTTTTATTTTTACTGAAAATTTTTATTTTTATATAATGACGAAAACTATTGAGATAACAAACTACAACGGTCATGAGTTCAAGAATTTGTTCTTCGTTCCTCGTGAAAATACATTCTATCAGATACGAGGGAGAAAGGGTAAAGTTAGTTTGAGCGTTTATGACTACAAGCATAATGGAAAGTTTATACAAGCATAGATACAAACGGTAAGCGTGTTTCATTAGCTTTGTCAAAACTTACACTATAACTATGACAGTGATTTTGACCTATATGAAGAAGAAAGTGAGTTAGAAGATTATGAGCTGTTATATGAAGCACAGCAATGGGAGGAGTTGCAATACTTTTGTAAGTGAGAACGTTTATTTTTACAGTAGTGAAGTCGTTTGTGAAAACATTAGTGAGGTGAAGTGGTTGGTGGCTTTGTAAATATTTAAGGTTAAGTTAGTGTTGTCGTTTGTGTTGTAAAATATACGTTAACGGTTTCGTAAAGTGTCAAATTCACATATAATGGGTAAGGAGGCGCGCAGTGCCGCCGTACCCATGATATGTATACTAACTCCTTCGACTGTAACTTCGATTGTTGTTCGCCCAGTTCCGACTGTAGGGTCTACAATTAGTTGGAATACATTATCTTTCTTTCTCCTGATTATTGATGTCTTTCCAACTCCAGTGTTTCCCATAAATATAATTTTATAGTTAATTGGGAGTTGAGACATGTCAATAAATCGATTATATAAAATGGGAGATACAAAGTGATGGACCCAAAAAAAATATATTTTGTAATAAAGAATAGTACCAGCCATAATCATTCCAAAATGCATTTGAGATTAATCAAAAAGCGAAATATTGAATATGAATTTCAAATAAAATTATTAATTTAGGAAAAATTACTTATCAAAAATAAATTTTATAGAAAATAAGATATAATTACCGTTTTTTAAATTCTAAATTCCATCAAAAAATTCTTGAAATTTGGAATTTTAAGATAAATTTTAAGAGTTTTGAATCAATCATTCCGATTATATTTCAAAAATCAGAAAACAGAAATCAATTTGGAAACACATGTTATTCATAAAATATGGCATTCCAAACGGGAACCGCGGTTGGTTACCATGGATTTCCGTCACCGGTCACATTTTAAAGATTTTTAAAGCCTTATAAAAATATGCTTTGTAAATCATTTTTTGTAAATCGGCAAAAATTTGGTAATTTTCTTCAACTAATAAATCTGCGAATAGCATTTATAATACAAGAACAATCTTTTAAAATGCGTTTGATTCATTTTTGTATAATTTCATATAGGCACATATATTCTTCCGGGACTTTCCGTGATTTTACCGTAAAATCATTAGTTTACACCAATTTTTCCGTATTTTGAATAGTTTACTGCACTTTTTCCGTAAAATTGAGTTACGGGAATCCGCAAAATTTCCGGACCTCATTTTTCATAGAATATAATAATAATATTTGATAAAAAGATATATTATTTATATTTTTGATTTTTGAATTACGGAAAAAGTGAATTGATAACTTGATTTTTTTATATGGTTAATTTTTCAAATGATATTATGAAGATCTAAAATATTAAAAGTAAAAAATTGAATTACGGAAAAAGTGAGGTCAAAGGTGAAATAAATTTGCAGAACAATTTTCATTGAAATAAGCTTTATTTTTCATTATTAATAACAATGCAAAAAAATATTTATCACGGGTTCAAAATTTAAAATTAAATATTTTAATAATTTACATCTTATTCTTTATTTTATATTTAACCCGTGAAAATATCATTTAAAAATTGAATATATTCAAAAAGCTTTATTTTTATTATGACTGCATGGGATCCTCATGTATATGATGAGTGGATTCCATTTAAGAAGACGAAATATCCACCAACTCCTGAAACATTGGAAACAAAGTGTGGAAAAAATGTTTCACTACGATCGGCTATTATGAGAATGAGCCTAATCAATCAGACAAAGGAAGGCTCTTTACATACTGTGCCGAATGTAGTGAAACATTAGTTCAAGGGCAGTTCGTGCGATGCATTAAAAAAAGCAGGAAAAATGATTTTAAAGATCATAAGTGCAAATTTTTACTCCCAATGCCCAACTACGTTCCTGCTGAGCACCAAGTTGAGAATACTCAGCAAGCAGTTGGCTCTGGTAATGATCCTTCGTTAGAAGAGATCATTGCCAGGCTTATTGCGAGCCTAGATATAAGCCTTTATGCCACAATGAAGCCAGCATTTAAAAGCTTCCTAGAGAGCTTCGCCAAATGGCTTAAAAATAAAGTCAATCGCGAACAGGGCATCAACTTTACAATCCCAGACATTGAGTTCACACGGCGCGGTGTCAGAGAGGCATTGATTACTTTAGGCAAAACAGACTCCTCTCGGGGCCTAAAGTTCTGCGAGGAATTCCGCATCTTCTCAATTTCCCTGGACTGCGGAACACACGGCAGCCGTCATGGTCTATTCTCTTGTGTGTGCAATCCAGGCAAAACAGATCGCCACCAATTCTTCGACACAACAATTTCGACTAATTGGACATACGAGGACTACCATACGTGGTTTGATTCTCTTAAGGTTAATAAAAACCACGTAGCTGGAGTAGTCGGAGATGGTTTGCCAGCCCAGGTTAAAGGACTCTGCCACTGGAGGCCAGAAGGAGCCCTTTTCCCTGGCTTACAAACCGTGTACATTCGTTGCCTTAACCACGTCTTGAACAATGCTATTGTCCACGCACGTAAGCAATGTCCATTGTTGAATGAACTGATGAATAGAGTTCACCAGATTATCATTATCTTTAAGAATCACGATATGAGAGCGAGATACAAGATCAGGGTTCCATCAATCCCGGAAACTCGCTGGCTCTACATATATGATACTCTGTTTTTCATCTTTGATAATCTGGAAACAATTAATACTGCTTTAAGAAGTGGAGATCTTCCACTATCCCTTTCCAGAGCTACACGTGAACAGTTACAATGGACACGTGATGGAATTCCTCCACTCTTTAAAGATGCTTTAATGATATTCAAGCCATTAAAGCAACTTCAATTATGGCTGAAATCCAACAAGTCCATGGGTGCTTATGCATTCCTGATGATACAACAGTGCCAAGGGATGTTGGATGAAATGGCAGGAAGATTAACGCCAGATGGTGAAGAGATTCTCCGATCAATCACTACAATATTCAAAAATGATATGAAAGAATATGGTAGAATTGATTTGCTT